GAGCGTCACCTGAGGTGTTTTCTGCTCCCTAGGCGATAGCAACATACAGTCACGATACACCCGTGAGCTAGCTGAAGACGGAGCTTCGAAGCACGAGCTAGTCTCTCCGAGGAAGATTATGGCCGACATCTCGAGCTATCTGAGCGTCTTGTGGTATTTCTCGGATTGGTGATTTCGGAAACGAGTATATTGTTCATGCCCTTTGAATTCTGGCTATAGCGAACATGATAATAGCACCTTATCGGGTAATTCAGCGTTGCCTCAATTTCTTCGGCAAGAGCGAGATGGACGGAACAACGGATTTCCAAGCCCTCGTTGCGCATCTTCAACTTCCCGGGCTTTCTTAACAATCGGGGAGCCTTGATGAATTTGTTTTCCCTGTTTCACAAAAAGGGTTCGAGAATGAACGATATGTGTTCGCTCCTTCCGCGCAGCATTAATTCCAAGGAGTCAGCTAAGTGTGAAGTCGTCATCGCTGGAGGATTTTCACTACTCTCAAAAGCTGTGCTGCTGCTTTCCGGCACAGAGAGACGCCAGGACGGCGGTCCATCGAGTCGGAGCCCGAGCACACGTCCTCTCCCTATGCCAACAGCATGCATAAGGATGTACCCAACCCTTCCTGGACCCCGAATGTCGCATCCCGGGCAGACAGCTAGCGTGATTCAGTGTGCCTTCTTTGGAGTTGAGCTCTCTGTGGTTCTCAACTATCGGAGCTTTCGGAAGGAAGCGGTAAAGTCGTGATGCTTTTTGCGGCGCTCTTCACGCCGCTCGAAATTGCGGGACCGGGAGCTGAGAGAGAAAAAATAGCGAAAACGGGAGAAACAGGAAACGACAGCGAAAACTTGATTTCAAGACAAATATACTTATAAAGGCTCCGAGTCGTTCTAAAGAGCCAACCAGAGCGTTGGCCTTGCGTCAAATCGTCAATAATAAATAACCGATGGGCCTCAAGCGGTCTCAGGGTTGACGGACGGACGGACTCGCTGACAGACTGACTTGGGACTTCTGTGACTTTTATCTTACAGTCACAATTTTGCGAATGGGTCGGCTCGACTTTAACGCATCGAAAAGATTACGCGCGTCCATGGATCGTACATCGATGACAGGCGAGGTGGTGATCGATGGGTGACGTGGTCATCCTTTGCTTCGCGACGATTGACGACGCGAGTGACGATTGCCTTGGGAGTGTCATCAAGTTTTCAAGTTCTTTCGGGATGAGGGAGGTTGCTCCGATGACGAGTCAACGCTCCGGCATCCTTCGATGAATTTTTCACCGATCTTCGTTCCTTCAATTATTGTACTCACTCGAAGTTCCCCAACTATCTAGTACCTAGCAAGCCACTGGAGACGACGATTCTTCGATCCACTTGAAGCAATGGATCACGGGCTATCGGTCGGATAGCTGAAAATGCTGAGGATCGTGTTCTGTGCTTGGTCTTGGAGGAATTATTCGTTCCTAGAATAGCATTGCGCAGACCAAATCGAACAGGGGGATCGGCTGCGATTCATCGTCACATCCGGCCCAGGCTGGATAGGACTCTATTGCCATCGGAACCGCTCAATAGAATTCCGATTTACTCAGTTTCAGCTCGGAGGCTGGTCGGATAATGTCGTCGAAATCGTCTGAATTTCTCCAGATGAATATAATAGCGCGTTCGGGTCGACCAGCGGCAGAACAATCGCAAGGTCATCAGATGACTTTCTTGCTTTATTTATTCTTTTTTCTGCACGCGGCAATATTCGAGCAAGTGCCCACCTGATCAAGCGAGTAGCTTGGGAACGGAGCAATCGACAGGCAGATCTACATTTTACAGGGACCAAGTATTATACGGTATATTCGACAGCGCGAAAACCGGAGATATTCCCACGGAATGATATGTTTTTTCTCTGCGGCTGCGGTTTGGGCATGAGTTTTGCTCATTCATTGATCATCAGCTTCTCGTGTGAAAAACCCGTCGAACAGATCGAAACGACATAAGGGTATCCATCACTGGGAACCGCTAAGTCAGCGCCCATTGACAGTGTCACTGAAAAGCACTGGGTGACATTGACAAGGTCATCAGTGTCGATGGTGACAAGAGAAGCAGAAAAAAACCGATGGAGTGAAGTAAAGAGACGCGAAGAAAAAAAACACCAAATCTTCATCAAACTCAGTGTTAGCCTGATGTATGGAAACGATGATACGTGGGCTTGACTCACAAAGGCAAAAAGAAGATCGTCAGAAGAAACGCGCACTCATCAGTGCAACGATTGATTGTGGAATGACGATGAGCGGGCGGGCAGGGTTTTTCTCTTCTTCGTTTGGTTCTTGCTACCAGAAAAAGCAAACGTCGCGCTGTTCCTTTCTGTCAGCAGAGTTTTCATTGAGCTTTTTTTGTTTGCCTTCGAGCCTCCCAGTCGATTCCTCTGGATTTTTTTCGGCTTCTTCAACGTCGTCTCGTTGCTGACTTTTTTTTGATATCCTCCATCCCGCAGATGTTTCCCCGATGTTCGGAAGTTTAAAGATGGGCGAGCTTCGTGTTACACATCTGCCCGACCTCCTTCACGCGAGGTCGATCTTCCCTCTGTGGAATGCCAGTTTTGACTGCCAACCGTATTTTCCGAAAAAAGTGAGATGGAATGAAAGACCGATAAGACGCTAAAGATCCATGATGCGTAGAGGAAGTCGCCCTGAACGGAGCGGACTGAAGTCTGCGGGTCATCGTTGTCAAATATTTGCTTATGATGTGTCAGCCCGGTGAAGCGGCTCGATTCGAAGAATACACTCATTTGCTAAGAGTTGAATCAGTCAACAAGCGACAGATTGGAGGAGCCGGGTCGCTGTCTCCGTCACCGACTACCAAAGACTCACCTTCATTTCTTTGAGAAATTCGCCGTACTGGAAAGAGACGAAGTCGGAAAGGTGTTCGCGCGCTTATCGTGACCTTATTCCCTTATTCCGAGGACCTCGGGTGCTCTACTAATTTGATTTCTATTGAACTCGGGCTTTTATTAATGTCCGTTGTCGAGAAACGTTTGTTGTACCAACCAGCATTGGGCCAGCGTTTGCGTTTGAGCGACAAATCAGAATGTACACCTCCTTTAAACTCATCCCAGGGATGCCCTTCATCTTCTTTTCCAATATGACTCGGGCCTGGAAGAAAACTTTCTTATCGTGGACGTTATGCATCCGGCAGCGTCATAATTTAGGTGTTCTATCGTGATCTTACTGCTGGGGATATTTGCTCAGTGAGACATTCATAGTACGGTTCTATGAACTCCGCGGAATGAGCTGAAATCAAAGAATTTTTCGCTCAGTGAGTATAGATTCCCTCCAAGCTCGACGGGACATCCCATACCGCATGCGACTCGAAACGAATGCGAAATCAGAATCCTATTCTCCTGAGGTGAAAACCAATGACGACGATTTCCATCACGAGGAGTTTTCGCTCGAAGGGGGCGACCACCAATTCACCGGATCCTCCTTCCTCTACTCCCGCAAGCTCCAAACGGCGAGCTCTCACCGTCGAATCAGATGGTATTCGATGCTTGTATATAGTATATACGGCGAGGAAGGAATACTCAACAGGAACTTGATGGAATGCATCCATCTGTTTAGATGTTTTCCGCCGACGGGAAGCATTCGGACAACGAGAGCCTCACCCGCTGTCCATGCCCTTCGTCTCTCCTCCTGCCTGACCTCCCGAGGTCGGAGCCGGACCTTGGAATCGATTCGTGCTCATCGAACTCCTCAGACTCGCTGAGGCTTTCGATCAGAAGAATGAGTTCCTATGAGCGTCGTTGAGCGGGTCAGGTGTGAGAAAAATGATTCAAAAGAGAAAAACGGAAGCAGGAACCTGATGGGAAGCCGCAATGATTGGGGCAGACAAGCTGGAGCGAGCTCCATGAGTTTCCACCAAAATAATTATCCTCATTGCTGACACTTGCTTTGGTCCGGTTACATGATTCCCGATTGAACACTTAGATACGGATGAGGTTTAATGGAAAAGTAGTGCCCACACCAGATGGTTTCATTCTGGAGATGCTCCCGGGGAGCGATAAGGGATTCCTTCATCTCGCTAGTCAGTTCCGCACCATAAAGTACTTTATAGCTCTTCTCAGCTAGTTTGATCTTCAATCCGTAACATCGTGGAAGCTTCCGTCTCGTAGGCCGACCGAAGATAAGATTCAACAGGCCACTCGCCGATCGCGGTTTCTGCCAAGTATTGGTCCATTTTAACTCCTTCCGGTTCGTCATGTCGGGGTACCTTCCAGTAGAGGCGATCGAGAAGGACTTGTTCTGTTTCTTTTTTATCCAAGATTGCTCCCGGTCCGATCTACCGATGAGCGTTCGATCTGCGTGCACGTCGAATCGCAAGCTTTTTGCGCAGCTTCAGTGATCTTAAAGATCGATCGCGAGCGTTTCTGAATCTCGATCCAAGTCTTTGAGGATAAAATTGTGGTTCCTTGTTTACTAGTTACGGAAGGTTGAGAGATGATTTACCGCAGGGGTTGAAGCTTACGCAAACGTCACATTCTCTTGAATAGGCTCCGAGGTCACACAACGAAGAGAAGAGGACGACGAACTCGAGATGATTAAGCATACGTTCACTCAAAACCGCCATGCTGTCGATTTGGGCGCGAAAAGCGACTGGAGTCACCAATGAAACGACTCAATTAATGTTTCACTCAATTTGAGGGTTTCACTATTTTTTTCGGAGCCTGAATGTTTGAGCAGCTCCACTGGTCTCTGAGTGGCTCCCGAATATCTCGGAATCGAGATCTGGGCGAAACCTTCACCTCTCTCAAGGATGGAATCATCGTCAAAGATAGTAACTTTTATTGCTCACAACCGCATATTGCAAAAGTAGCTCGTAAAAAGTTGGGTGATACATGTATACACAAATGCATGTACGAGATCCGGAAGCACTTTCACAGATGGTCAAGTCGTTTGATTCGTCGCTCGTAGAGTAAAATGGATGAGTCAGTCGATCGTTCTCTTAATGAATGCAAATGAGTCTTCAAAAATCGTCTTCCGGCAGGATCGTAATAGACAAATGATGATGAGGATAATTGTACGTTTTAGGTAGTGATAGCTGAAAAGAACAAGAATGATGAGGAGAACGAACACTGAATGACGTGTCATAAGGGGGCCGTACCGGCAATGAATCAGAAAACCTCTTTCCGACAAAAACTCACATTCTGAGATTCTGCCTTGGAGAGGTGATCCATATCCTCGATCATGTCTTGTAGAAGATCGTCTTGGATCAATATTTGACACCATTGCCCCTGACAGCCAAAAGGCTCGTCCTCGGTCACGAAAGCACCCCGAACGGATGCGACAACGAAAGTTAAGGCACTCGAATCCAACGCGGATTTGAAAGTGAAATGCCGACCGTGTTGCAAACGGCCTTTCAACATTAGAGGCAGCAGCAGGCCAGCCTCCAAATTTATTTGGATATGTGAAGCCTTCAACCGTTTGGTGGGAAGGGGCATACCCTCCTCAAGCCCCTCCTCGTCGTTCTTGCCGAAGGTAGGGCTTTCAACATTTCCCCTAGAGGAAAGACATTCGTTAGGATTCCGAATCTCCTCGATGATCTGAGTCGAGATGTCAGTCACGATCTTGCCCTCAGGAGGGTCCGCCTCCTCAAACTCGGTCATGTGAAGCTTCGACTTGATATTTCAGTGAGCCACCTCACCTTTCAGGATTCTCGGATACCGTGGTTGTCATATTGGGAGGTAGCATTTCTTCGGACCAGCTGATCTTCGCTCCGACCCCAGATAAGTCGGAACCGTCCTCCGCGATCCCCATCTGCACAGCCTCTTCAACGTCGGTGTCGATTTCGAATATGCTTTCTCCGCGTCGCATATCTGTGACTAGCCACGGCCCACCAGCCCCTGGGACAGCTGGGGAAGACGCCATTAGAAATTTTAATATCGTTGGCCTTCGAATTACCGGGATATCGATATCAATAATGATATATATCTCAATATCTCCCAACGACCCACTAATCCCGGTGCTTCTCGCGAATGCTGTACCTTTCATGAGGTCGAGGAAACTGCGTCCGTTCCAGTGTTGTGCGGATTTCAACTCCTCGTTACAAACACCCACTATCTGAATGAATTGTACCGAGCCGAAGGGTGTCTGAACCGTACGCAGCTGGGGATCCAACGCCATAAGCATGTGCTGGATACGAGATTCGCTGTTATCAAGGGGACAATGCCAGGATACGTGATCCCCCTCACACAGAAAATTGTCTGGAAGAGATCAGTGGAAACTCATGAGGAAAATGGGTATCCTTCGATCGGAATTCTCTCAGATGTTTCTGACCATGAGAGCAGTCCAGCCTCCAATCGTCTCGAAAATTCAGGGAAATTTTGATGAAATCTTGGATTAGCGGCGTACCTGATTGGAAAACGTATTTTGCCAACCCCTGCATCACCGCTGCGGGCCAGGTTGGTGGAGCGGCGTCCCCCTCTTCTTTTTTGAGTCGGAACGTCAGCTCGAAGCCGAAACCCGAAGGAGTGTCGGAACCCGTAATGTCGTGCACCCGACCATCCCCGTGCAGATCGGACAGACCGAAAGACACGTAGTGCCAATGGGGTGGCACTTCGTTCTCGGGATCTCCCGCGTGAGAGTACATCGATATGTAGTCGAGGGGATCCGGTCCGCCAAGCCTGTAATTCACACCTCTCTTCAATTAGAGAGACGCTCCCTGAGGATAGCATCATGGGATTCAATGAGGGCAGCAACCAGAGAACTCCGGACTCCCGGGTGCCTTGAGGTATCGACTGAGCTGATGAGATCGAAGACCGTTCTAGAATTACCTACCAGTATTTTACCACCGCTGCTACTTGGAGCGGGTTCGGTTGGTCCGTATACAGCGCACTGCATGCTGTGTACAATGCTTGTAAACCTGCGGGAATCACTGTCAGCTGTTGCTGTTGGCAGAAGGGTACGGCCCCAGCATTACAGGCCATGATCGAGGTTTAGGTTATAACAACTGACAACAGTGAAGAGAGCTCTAATGCTTCTTCTAATGCAGTCTCTCCTTCAGGTGAGGAACGTAAACATATTCGAGGGAGACTGTAAACACCTTCTCACCGGGAGGTCCTTAGCGCCCATAAGAGCGGGCTCGTGAGCCCGAGGCTGGCTCTCCGCTCAGATCAGCAAGCTTAGCCCGAGAACGGAACATGCAAAAAAACATTTTAGTTTTCGAATGACTCATGCAACCGTGTCTCGAATTGCCCCGAGACCTGCCATGGGGGAAGACCGGTAGCGGACGGACGCGACTTCGTCCGGCATTCTGCCAGGGTTCTTTAACAGGAAAAATGCCACCTTGTACAGTGATACCTGACAGGGAGAGGATCAAATGCCACTGTGTGAACTGAAGTTTGGCCCAAAGTAGTTCTAGATTCTGATGGGTAGAAAGATAGATGGATCCTCCGAGGCCCGAGTGCCAATGACGCGACCCTGACGACACAGGGGGCGTCCGCGAGCATGAGGCTGCTACGGACGACGGGAACCAGCGCCGAACGTTGCGCGTACAGGGCAGAAATCCGAAGATCTTCAGAATTCCGCATTGTGTACAGCACGTACGGGCCAGAACTACCATGATTTTCGGGGCTCGTTCGTCCGAGAATACCCGCGTCCGCCGTGTCACAGGATCAGTTGCGAAGGATCGAAGCAAAAGGATGCCAGTCACTATACATCGGAAGATTGGGCAAGATCAGAGATCTTAGATGGCCGGGGACGATCCTCCTTGAGATGGGAAGCCCGAGTCGGGAAGCGAGGCACGCTCGGCAGGAAACCACTGCTATAACATCAGGCCACAAGTCGATGGAAGCGGACGCTTCTTCCTGAATATACATCACGTCGAAGATGACCAAAAGGGGAGCACCTCGGGCTTCGCCCTTGCTCGGGCTAATGGAGATTGAGACAGACCACAGCTAGCTAAGTAAGAATCTGCAGCCGCTATGAAAGCTGCTCGACATATGTACATTAACCATACGGGGGAAATGTATCAACTTCAGTCTGCAATGAAACGTATTCGACCGTATGGAAAGGACTTCCTGACCGGAGACCAAAAAAATCTATTCCGCAGTGACGCGGACGATGAAGAAAGGAAAACCCGACAAGGGAGCAGAATAGCCTTCTTCCATTTCAATCGGACCGTCCCACAAAGTGCCGTAATCGCGGAAGGGGATTCAATGAGCGCCGAATCGTTTCGTTGACCTTACAGACATGCTCTTGATTTGCTGATTGTAATCATAAGAAGAACCTCATCCTGATGTACGGTGCAAGATGCCTCTCGGCTACGGCATGATCTCAAAACGGTCGGGCACCGCTCCGCGTCGCTGAACGGAAGTCTCATGAACTTGATCTCACGAACGAGCAACCTGTCATCGTGCTCTCCCAGACACCATATTGAGCGTTCGCGACATTTGAGGTATAGGAGCAAGTCGCCTTGTTGGATATCAGCCCAATGCGAAGACCCGATCTAGCCCCCTCCAAGAAAAATCCTGCGGACGCCACTGCACAATGTCATCCTCGTCGACGACATGGCCTCAACGATCGCGCTCCAAGGCGAGTGGAGTCCCCCCGACTCGGACGCTTCGAGGTGACCGAATACGAGACCGATTTACGTCAATGGAGAAACACTGCCGCCATGATAAGCGAATTATTCGACAAGAGATTCAGATGCTGCAGCCACGGGCGGAGCGCGAGCGAAGAGTTCCTCAGATACCTTGCCACCTTCGAACCGATACCTGGAGCTTCACGTGGAGCGGTTGGCGAACTCTCAAGGAAACTGTTCTCGGTCGCATGAGGCTTGCTCTTACTCTCAGAAGAATTCGCCATTGATTCTTCAAAAGGAATCTTTGTGAGGACTTGAGTATCGAGACATAAAAGACAAGGATTATCGAGAACACTCCTTCGATCGCGATTACCGTCCGAGAGCGTCATGATCGGTCGAGCCTCGTCCCGATTCTCAAATTCATCGTCCGTATCGGCTGTGTCATGTCTAGGGCTGGGAAGTTGGCGCGGTCGCCCCAAAAGCCGTGAATTTTCACGGTATTTCCAGGCGATCCTCCATAGGAGATCAATGGCGGTGAAAATTGCCGTGAATTTTCGGGGAAAATGCCGTGAATTATTCCCAGCCTTAGTCATGTCCCATGCCGGTATTTTCGTCTCCGAACGATTCCCATCGATCAACGCATCGAGGCGACTTCTGTTCGCTCTTCTTTCGAGCTTATACGATCGTAGTCCATTGAAAAGCCCAGATGGTCTCTCTCGCTCGCATCTTATTAGAATCAAGAATTTATATCAGACAGGGAAGTGTGTCCATGGAGTCCAATCGATGGGATGGTCACACTCTAGTCTCCCGACCCGGAAGCCCCACCACGAATCCCGCACAGTTAGGTGCGCCGATTGCACACGTAGCTCCAGACGAGCTCACCTGTCCCCCGCTCGTCGCTCCCGCGCTCCGTGGGTCTGTTCATTCTGAAATAATCTGGCTCCTTCATGGCACCACTTCATTTACGATCCGATAGTCTCCTCTTGGTTCTTGGGCATCTATCCGGCGTCGGATCGTTATCAGTTATCATTCAGGAATCCCGTCCTAGCGATGTCGAATATCTAAACTTCGAGGCTCTTCTATCTCATCAGGAGAGGAATCTTCTATCTAGAGCTCAGAGCTCAGTCCCCACACGAGTCAGCTCATTTTCGATTAACCCCCGTATCATGCTCCCTCTTCGAGTTTCTGCAGTCCCGATTCTGAACATTAGGAGACTCACGAATTCCGTGGCACGTGAATTCACGGAGCGAATTATATGTTTATTCCAGTGAAAATGGGGGGCTAAAGATATAGTAAATCAATCACACGAGTCCGTAAGAATTGGACCGGGGCTGCGCCTGAAGATGAGTTCGCCGGTTGTCGCTTTTCTTTTGTCGTCGTCGTCGAGATGTCTGGAAATCGGCGGATGGTTCCGAGCCGCTGACGGGAAGCACTCCATCTCCACTCTGCGATTCCCCTCTCGACGTCGATGGACGTAATATCGGAGCATGGGCGTTCAATGAAGACATCATCGAAAATATTTCTTTCGCGACCAATGCGATGCCTCAATCCGGAAATCAATCGTGAGGGCGAGTCCTGTTGAGAACTAATCAGTCCAAGTCCAAATGCTTTCCCCGATATCGAATTCCTTGTTCGATGAAGCTTTTCAATCGGGACAATGAGCTGTTTAAACGTGTGCATAGAAGCGGCCTTGCTGGGGAACTCGTAATCATCATCTTCGCGACCTCCCACCCGATTCCGAGCTTTTTCGAGTCCATCTGGATTGAGTCGAGGTCCGAGCTAACTTTTCCGAGTCGATAAACGTCATTGTGAACCCGTAAGCATGTCAGTGCGCGATGACATCACGCTAGAGAAAACGCGAGAATCATATCCGCGACTACCCCGCCTCGAGCGCTTAAAGTGACCCCATGAACTTTCAGCAGCTCGCTGTGTGCAGTTTCGGATCGTATGCAATACACGAACTCCCAGGATTATCATGCGCACGAGCATTCTTCCTAGCTGAGATCCTCTGTCTTGGGACGCACCGCCATGCCGCTCTTTTCCTGAGAAGTTCGGATGGCAGTGACTAGCAAGCGACGCGTCCTCCCCACCGCTACCTGGCGCGCACCCCAACGCGCGCGAATCCAGCTCGGCCTTCTGCTACACGGAGTGAGAAAATATCGATATGGTCAGCCTGCGATTCACTGATTAAACAGCCTGAAATAGAGTCAGCCAGTAGTGGACCGGTCGATGTCGCCCGTCGCGAATACCCAAGATTTTATTCGTGACAGAATGACAACTGACAGTTGACAGCCCATTGCTTCTCTCACGCTCTCCCCCTCGGCGCCGAAGTAAACAGCCGTCGAACCAAAACACGCAGAAAATATGATCCGGCACTTGGTATACGCTAGAAGACGACGAACGCTCATTTTTGCTCGTAACTTGTGAATGATCGAATCAACCGATAACAGTTGAGCACGGAGTGTGGAAGTGCTTGCCCTAATGGACATTATCGTCAAGGGCTTGATCCCGAAATCGAGCAAGAGGAGAAGCTGAAAATTTTCGGACTTCCCGAAGGGACGCTCATCGTTCATTATGTTCTCATCGGTCAGACTACCGGCGTAAATTAGCGTCTAGCGTCGGCAAAGCATCATTAAAGTTCGGCTGCCGATTCGGCAACGCAGCGCTACCGCTGTCTTCATGGAAGCGCGGAACATGTCGCCGCGACGCCAAGGTGAAACCGACAGTCGGAATCCATCTTCACCAAATTGTTCGGGAAATCAGAGCTGCTCCGATCAGGAAACAGAATCGTTTGCCTGTTCTGAATGTCCCGCAACGTTCAAAAGCGTAGCCGATCTCAGGCGACATAGGCAGATTCACAAAGCCAGTGTTCATCGGAGTGAAGTCGACAAGGAGAAACCTTTCCCGTGCTCGAAATGCTCGGCAAGTTTCCCTCAGCGATTGCACCTCGTCAACCATATGCGGACTCACACCGGCGAGAAACCATTCGTCTGTCATGAATGCGGCGCGAGTTTTGCGCGGAAATTCACGCTTTCAGTTCATGCTCGGATCCACACCGGGGAAAGACCGTACCTCTGTCCTGAATGTCCGGCGACATTCGCACAGAATGCTAATTTCCGAGCTCACGTGCGCGCACACGCAGGTGAAAAACCGTTTCCGTGCGATGATTGTGGGAAAACATTCAGCCGACCAAGCCAGCTCGCTTCCCACCGACTTATCCACACAGGAGAGAAACCGTTCGCCTGCAAAGAGTGTCCTGCTAAATTTCGCACTCTCTCCCAGATCACTGTGCATTCTCGAACCCACACGGGTGAGAAACCGTATGTCTGTGATGAGTGCGGTAAAAGCTTCGTCAGTACCTCCGACCTCGGCAAACACAAACGCATACACACAGGAGAGCGACCCTACGCTTGCACCGAGTGCTCCGCAACCTTCGTCACAAAACCTTCTCTCACTGACCACATGCGCATCCACACCGGTGAAAAACCGTATTCGTGCGCGAAGTGCAAGAAAACATTTGCTCATAACAGTACATTGAGATGTCATCTACGGACTCACCAGGCGAAGAGGAGACCGACGCGTCAAACACGAACGACAGAATAATTCATTCGGGCGAGTTCACGTTTGAATTCTTCGAAGAGTATCGTCCTTCAGAACCTCGAGGTGTTCCTCGTTTTACGAGCTTTGGAAAAGAGTGAAACAGTCTATGTCCGCTCAGCGAAGTTCCGGCACGGAGGAACTGACGACTGAGGAATACCCCGCGAGGGTGACGCTCTGTATGGCGAGATTCCCATAAAATTCAGGCCGTCGATTGGAGAGAAGACCTTGGCAAGCTCGCCGAGAGCCGTCCCTCCTATGCAGGACGTTCCCATCCTTTTTCACTAAGCTCGCCTCACCGTCAGGGACTGTGCCCCTTAGGCCACAATGTATAGAGAAAGATTAGACCGGAGAAAAAACACGGTGTTGTCGCAGCCGGACCGTCTGAGGGAAGGCACCACTGAACCGAGGCCAGATTGCCGATCCCTCCGATGGAAAGCTGATACGTCCCATTCGATTAGAGTGAATAAATGACGAGAATCTATACCAACGAGTTTTTCTGCCTTGGAGGAAAGCTTACCCAACTCCGAATTCTGATCAGTCAACCCCCGAGAAACGGAGTCGCAGAGAAATCCGACCACTCGGTGATCGGACATGATTTCCGTTTCGACCCTCTAATGATATGAGGGTTTTACATCCCCCTTTCACAGGAATTCTTGAATGAATCACCCCCGAGCTTGGACCCTCTTGAAGAAATCGATACAGAATGATTATTAGGAAACTTAAGTTAGATGTGTGGGGTTCAATATAGGTGTACAAAGCATTCGTACCAACGTGGTACGGCGGGCGTACCACTTCCGAAACTGGAGCGATCGATGATTCATCAACTTGGAGTCCTGGCGGAAAAACTTCAGTATTGTGAGAGATCGGAAATTATTGGTCAGAGAGAGGAAGATGCTGTCATCACGGGGGAAAAACGCTCTCGACTTTGTCAAGAATCCGGACCCCTGAAGCACTGGAGATCAAAGCCGTATCGACTTCACCGCCCGTAAGAGAATCGAACGGTATATTTTTCTCAGCCAATGCTCGTCTCTCCAATGCCGATCACGGGTGATTTTTGTTTCAACCGATTCCCGAACAACGGCGCAGTCCTCGGAGAGTCCCGTCTCCAAATAGAATGGAGTCCCGTGCCTACGAACTCGGCGAGCGGGACGCGTTTTGCGCGGATGGATCAATTAAAACGAGAAGACGCTTTCGTCGCTTACATCAACCTCCGTGTCGAAGACCGTCCGAAGAACCCCGGTTGGCAATCAGAGTCATTGGAGATACGAGTACGATCGGGGATATTCAGGGATGCGTTCAATCAAACGCGACTTCGCGAGTGGGCTGTAACCCCCTTGGCGGACTGCTACAAATTGAGCGGTATGTGCCGCTTAATTCATACGAGAAAGGACGACGGGCTCAATTAGGAAGAGTCGGGTGCGAGAGAAGATCCGTGTTTAGCAAGGTCGGCACCCCAGATCTCTGCGAGCCGTGAATTCCAAGTCGCTGCATCTTCTGGCGCCGCCGAACCTCTTGATCAAGACTTCTCGCTCTGAGAACATTTCCGGCAAATTGAACCCCTCGCCTAATGCGCGGTGCGCATGGCTCGCTCATGTGAGGAAGGGGGGCGGTATCGATCAATTATAAAAGCACGAGGCTTCAGAGTGCAGCCACAGTTTCTTCAGAGCAACCATCTATCCAGAATTCACAATGTCCAGAATGGAGGCTCACCCGTTTTGTGCGTGGGAAGTGCTGGCTCTCCAATCGAGACAGGCCGGGCAGTTGAACTTCCGTCGACTCCCAGACAGCGGGAGGCTAGAAATCTTCCGAGAGTCCCTGCCCGCCATGGCAAAAGTTCCCGCGCTACTCGACCTCTACCCGGTGCCGATTTTCAACGGCGAGGCTGAGATCGAGGAGCTGGAGGCGCAGATCCGCAGGGGCGATTTCGCCGAATTCATCATCCAGTCCTGCTCGATCATTGAGGCTTTGCAGAAGGTGAGAATGGAAGCGCCCAATCTTTCGAGCTTGCTGTACTTGAGGCGGTCGGAGGGACGATCGTGGGTCTTCAAGTATACGCGGACACTCGGAGACTTCGCCACTGTCCTACATCGTCTGAAGTCAAGAAGTTTCGAGCCCAGGTCACTGGGATTAACCGAACTGCTGGAGAGTCACTTCCAGACTCACGCTATTCGGATCTGCCTACGGAACGAGCCGACCTGGCAGGAGTTCCTGATGTTCCTTGAAGCGGCCGGACCTGTGGCCTTGCGGATCGTCGTGTGTGAACAAGGCGCTCGGTTCGTATCGGCTCTCGAAGAGATGCCAAGGGCCGGGTTGAGCCTCTTCCTCAGCAGAATTGCTGCGCAAGCCAGAGAGTACTCCTGGGAGCTATCTCGAGACTCGTGTCGGATGCTCATCTGGAGACTCGTGTGCCTCGGGGGCTCGCTTATGACCTCCGAAGACGATCATCCCAAGCTCTGTGGGATACTGACGAAGACACTCAAGCTCCAAGAAGCGCCGTGGTGGTTGAAGGACCCGCCAATCACCGGCCGTGTTGCGCCAACGGCATTCCGCAGACTCATGTGGATCAGCTGGAGCGACAGGGAGCGCGAAGATCTGCAGCGCCGTGTATGCTGCATCCTGGACGCAAGGGGCTGCAACGGAATTCCCCCCAGGGTGCACTGCGCCACCCTACAGTGCCTGGCTTCGCAGCGGTTGCTTGAGTCGCACCGTGACGATCTGCCGAAGACTCTCAGATTTAGAGCGCTCAAGCACATGTCTTGCGAGCTGAGGAACTAAGCGGCAGAAACTGTTAGCCCTGGCCGGGTATTCGTGTTGTCCTCTCATAATTTTAGAATTTTTTGTACATTGTATATACTTTATGTAAATTGTTGATCAATGAATGAAGATATATTTAGCTCTTAATTGCCGTCATTATTTTCGTGTATCTCCCGAGGAGGCAGAGTATATCAAGCTGAGAAGCCGCGCTTCAGAACCGTATACTTTCGATGCGTCACAAGTCATGAGCTCGGAATCTCGATGATTCGATCCGACCCCGTGCACGCAGATGCATTGGAAGCTTAGTGAACGAGCTTGCAGGGCGAATTCCTTCGCGCTGTCTCACTCAACAACAGCATTCCGAGAAGCTCTCCGCTCCTTCGCCCTGTCTCGCACCTTATTCCTTTCCTTACTTTTCGATGATGCTGGAGGAGGTAGGAGCGAGTTTGAGGGCTTACAGCCAATTAGCAGGACTGCCGGATTCAGCGATCACCCTTAAAGTCTCGCTGAATCGATGGGACTCTGCACAGCGAGATCTCCTCTGTCTTCTGATATCTGAAACCTTGACAATCTCAATCTTCGCAGGGAAACCGATCATTTTCTCAAGGATACGATAGAGTTTTTCCTTCTTTTCGTTGGCCTCGTAAAAGAGGTTGTGGACAAGGAAGTTTGGGTTTCCCCGGGCTCCTGAACGCTCAATTCCGTTTCGAGTTCGTGAGCTATCAACATACTTGACAGGTCAACAAATCAGATAAGTGACTGCAGAGGGCTCAAGCCCGTGGCACAGTACACGGAAGAAAAATGCGCTCGACGATCAAGACAGCAACAAGAAAGAGGGAACGAAATTTTAATGAGTGAAGAAATTGGGGAGGAGGGGAGCGAATTGCTGGACGGCGAATCCCGAGTCACTCGTGGCTCGTGGATCAACCAGTAGCGTATCCACCTCGGGGCTGTGTGGGGCTATAGCCCCAATCTGCGATTGCGTACATGGATTGAATGGCCCGGCTGCATCGGTCCGTGATAAGTCCCGTTATGATTTTCCCGTGAACGATTTTCCGTTAGAATGCATAGTGACGCCGAGGTAACGGAAGGCGTTCACGTAGCTGACTTCGCGACCTTCGATCTTGAGAATATCGTTACTTGTAATTCCTCCCCCTCTTCGAATTCGCACTATCAACATCTCGGCGGAACATCTTCAGAGTTGTTTTGATATTTGGGAATCGGTGTTTTCCTGCTTGAGGACCATATCTGAACAGGTCAGAAGCTAAGGGTCCGCTTGGAAATGATTGCGGAGCGAGACCAAGCTCTGATACTCTAGATACTCCGGGTTTAGCTGCTAGCTTCATTGTTGCACTCTATATCGCATTGAATAATGATTTAGAGATTGGAACTTGAGGCAGAATGACATAAGTGCCTGGAAATGTCCGAAGTCAAGGACTTCTTTGTTGGAAAAGTGCTTCTGAGATAGGATTTCCGCATTCGATCACGAAGTCGCGACACCGAGTTCACAGCTTAGTGAGCCGGAGTGCGCATTGGAAGCGGTGTTCGACCTCCGCGAGCCGATGACTCCCATGGATGTCGATTTTATTGTCCTAGTCGAGAGTTGTTATTGAGGGCGCTTCTCTTGTTTCCTCATTCCGGATGCCTTTATTTGCCTCTTTTCTCTATGTCCCTTCTTGAAGTGCCCTTTTCCCTTGATTTTGAGTGCCTTTCGGCCGCCGATTTCTCTGTTTTTGGGTGCCCTTCTGCCTGCCGTTTCCTCTTTTTTTTTGTGCTTTAATGTTGGAAAGTGCGCTGAACCAGCGGAGCCGGTGCGGCGTTTGCCGCGATCACTTCGTCGTCGGCCGCGCGCCTCGCGGGATACAATTTCAACGGTCAATAAAAGCAACACTCATTCTAAGGCGTACCACGCACAGCACGTGTTATCACTGAGTCTCTCTAGGAAACAGGTTTTCATCAGGTTATGGGCCCAGAAACTCTGATCAAGAGCAGCACCCGATAACATGGCTCTCGCTTTTCCGACCAGTGTTCTTTGGGCCCGCTCAGCCACCCCATTCTGTTCCGGGGAATACGCAACCGTCGTTTCGTGACGGATTCCTCGCCCTTTCAGGAATGTCGATACTCGAGAATCGAGATATTCAGTTCCATTGTCGGTTCTCAACGTCTTGAGCCGAGCGCCGACCTCGTCTTCTGCGTATCTCACAAAATCTCTGAGTTTTTCGGAAACTTCAGTCTTCGACTCCAGGAAG